GATCGCCCCCGGGTCCCGGCCGGGACAGGCACCGCCCCCGCGCCACTCACCCCCGGCGGAGTCCCCGCTCAGCCCTGGCACGGAGGTCCCCACCGACTCCGTCTCCTCGGGGGAGTCCCTGTCCCCGTGGCCCCCCGCGGTGGGACACGTCCCCGTCCCCATCCCCTGGGGGGAAGGGGTGTCCCGGGGAGCCCAGGAAGGGGGGTGTCTCCGGCACTGGTCACCCCGGGGGGGTCCCTGTCCTGGTTACCCTGGGGAAGGGGTGTCCCTTGTCCCAGTGAGCCCAGGGAGGGAGGTGTCCTCCAATTACCCCAGGGATGGGGGATCCCCTGCCCTGGTCACCCTGGGCTTGGGGGGGTCCCCTGGGGACGGGGTACCCTCACTGCAGTCACCCTGGGGATGGGGACGTCCCTACCCTGCTCACCTTGTGGTTGGTCACCCTGGAGAAAGGGGGATCCCCTGCCCGTGTCACCTCGGCATTGGGGTATCCCCTGCCCTGAGCTCAACACTGCTGTTGGCCGGGGACCTGGGGGTGGCAGGGGTCCAGCTCCCTGCCCCGCCGTCATCCCCCCAGCACAGCCCCCCCAGCCTGCCCTGTCCCTGTGGCCTCGCACACCGCCTGCCCTCGTCCCACCCATGGCCGGGAGCCTTGCACTGCTCGCCCTGGCTGGGCTCCCCAGGCCTGGCCCCGCTGGGTTTTTGGCAGCCCTCCCTTGTCCCAGCAGCAGGCTGTTTGTCTCCTTTTCTTGCCAGCTTTCTTCCTTGCCTGCTTCGCGCTCCAGGTGCTCAGCCGCCGAGCTCTGGGCCGTCCTCCATCCCGCAGGGACCCCTGGCAGTTTCACACCTTAAAGCTTGCCCTCACTAACCACTCCCACCCCTCTCAACGCTGACACCCTCAGTGAGGATTTTTGCTGCTTTTTCTTTCCTTTTCAGCTGCTGATCCCCCCAGGTATTTTTCCATGGCCGACTCTTCTGTAATACTACTCACGGGAAGAGCAGGAGAAACAAGATGTGCTTCCCGGCGTCCCTCCCAGCTGCAGGCTGGCAGCTTGGGGACTTCCTGAGAAAGGGTTTGCATCCGGACGGAAGTACCTTAATAGCCCTAATGGATCTACCTCCACTGACAGACCTCGTCCCTCTCCAACCCATTTACATACTTGGCCTCTCCGGCATCCTGTGGTAATGAACTTGGTGATTTCATGCTCTTGTTCTGTCTCCAAAGCAGGTCTAGAACAGCACCGCTCCTCTCGATCTACAAACTACTCAGCAAAGAAATCGGCTGGGTCTTCGTAGCTGTGCGGCCTGCCTTCTCCATCCAGATCTGGAAAGGTAAAGTCTGGCACGATGAGTGAAGTCCCACCAGTCTCTGCTCACCGGCTGCGCCGCAGAGCTCATGCCCCACGTCCCCGCTGAGAGCTCCATGAAGGGCCCACGTCCGGGTCCCTCGCTCCCGCTCTTGGACATCTGACAAAAATGTCACCCATTGCTGAACAGCAATTCCTGTTTCCTCCTTGTGAAGGTAGGGAAAAAAAGGGGTAAAGGAGGAGTTGAGGAAAAATAAGCTTGGGAAGGCAATGTCACCCCAGCTCTGCAGGTGCCAGACCTTGCCCCTGCGACTGCTGTTGCCCCAGCACTGGGGCAGGGCTGTGAAATTGGGGGGCCTTGAACCACCCAGGACCCCTGAGCAAATACGGACCTGGGGCTGCCTAAATTCGGTGCTGGAGCACAGAACTGCGGCAGCTCAGAGATATTTCTAGGCTAAAACTCAACAGCGGCCTTCGAACAAGAGGGGTTGAGTTGTTCCCTGTGCCAAAGACTCCTCTGGCTTTCAGCTCTGGTGACCGTGAAGAATTAAACCCAAGGGACAGCCTTTATTTCTAACATTCACTGTTTTCTGCAGAAACTCTGCAAAGCTCAAATATGAAGACATGGCCAGAGAAGTCACAGTGGCCGTTTGGTGTTTTAACCCCCTGTAAATCACAACTGCATTTGGGAGGTGGCACGGAGAAAAGCGCTTCCCAAGTCTCGGCTGTTGGCTGGGGGGGTGGCATCACCCCAGGCCAGGGACGCTGCCCTGGGACCGGTCCAAGCTGTGGCACCCGCCTGCCTGGGCTGGCAGCCCCCGGCAGCTGCAGCCGAACCCAGGCTTGGAGGCAAACAGCAGCGCCTGCCGGCAATTCTGCTGCTCCCGCCTGCGTGCCAAGCTTCGCGTCAGTAAAGGTGCAGACGTGAGGCTGCGCACATCCAGGTGGGTGCCTGCGTGGGTGGAAGACGCCGGGATGCTCAGTCCTGGTAAGGATACAGGTGAGGATAAGGAATCGCCACAGCCTGGGCCTGAGCTCTTGTGTTCAGCACCTCTCTTACCACCCTGCATGAAGCGGTGAGGAGGGCTAGCCAGGCCTTTTCTGCTGTTGCAGTGACACTTTTGCCAAAAAATGGTGTTTTTTTCTGGTACTGGAATGTTGTAGTTCAGCTCTCTGCGGCTCTGCAGTCTTTCATGGCATCGTGGCAGGGACTGGCATGGCTGTCCCCGGTCCTGGGCCTCACGCTGGCCAGGGAAACTGGCCCTGACCCTCCTGAGAGCATCCATTGGCACAAAAACTCTGGGATCTGATGAGTTTTCAATTCATCAGAAACATTAAAAAACTTTTTTTTTTTTTTTCATCCAGAAGAGGGTGTCAAAAAATGGCTTTCCCTGTAAATGCCAATCTTTTGCTCCCTGCCAGCCCTGACTGGGACTGCGCGTGTTATCGTGCCTCAGTTTCCCCCTCAGGGCAGTTGGAAAGGGAGTATGTGTGTGCGTGTGTTGTGACGTGCGGCAGGGCGGCAGGGTGCTTCTCTGCAGCGTGCCGGGGAACTGGAAGTGCCCCGGGAGCTGGAAATGGCTGCAGACTGACAGAACAGGCTGCATCCCTATCCCTCTGCACAGATCCCAGAAATCAAGTGGTGTCGCGGCACACACAGCACTTGGCCAGGCTTTCAGCTGGCTGCGAGGACACTGCTGCTGTCATCCTGCCTCATTCAGGTGGCCCTTGGCCCTCTCAGAGAGCCTAAGAAATGCTGCTGGCGATGTGAATGGGGAAGGGCTGCAGCTCTGGATGACTCCGTTTGCTCCTGGAGCAGCAGGATCCCAAAGCCCTGAGCACCTCGATCCTCTCTAGGGCAGAGGGCTCCCGAAGTCCTGGGTGTCCAGGGCGGGCTGGTGGTGGCCCACAGCTGGGAGAAGCTGTGCGTGCTCAGGGTGCACCTGGAAAAGCGGCCGGTGGGGTTTGTCCCAGCCGTTTCCTGGCTGCCGGAGTCCATCTCCGCTTGCTCTGGCTCTGCCAGCCCTGCCTGAGCCTGGCTCCCGGCTCCATCGCCCCTTCCACAGCATCACAAAGGGGCACGATGTGGGACCCGTGAGCAAAGGGTGGCCGGGGCTTTGCCTGGCACAGTCCCTATAGGGCAGTGGTGTGAACGCCTCTGTGCTGCATGAATAAACCATCCCAGCACGCTTCCCTCCCCGCAGGCTCGGCTGTCCCGGCCCAGCCGGATGCGCCAGGATGGCCTTGTTTTCCTGCCTGCAGGTTTGGGAGAGGACAGGAAGCGCGTTTCCTCTCGTCGCCTCTCCTGCTCGGATCCTTCCTCCCCGGGATGCTGCAGCAAAACAAAGGCCGCGAGAGCAGAGCAGGAGCAGCTTCCCCGGCTCTCCAGCCGTGCGTGGGCTGACAGGACATGGGGAAGGCTCCTCAGGGGGCTGCCAGACGCCCGCACCGGGCTCAGACCTGGCTAGGCTGTCAGGGAAGGGGCTGACGGAGGAGGCTGAATTTTTTTTCCCATCACCTCCCAGGGACTCCCTCAAACCTGATTTAGGGCTGTGCTGTGGCAGCTGCATCAAATACAGAACCCCTGCAATGTCA